CCAACCACCCACTTGTAAGTAAACAAAAAAACATTTCCATGTGGTAAGTGAACAGCTTATTTAACTGAGTTATGTGTGCTAAAGTGTACATGCTTATTGCTCACCACTATCAATGAGAGAGAGAGAGAGAGAATAAGGAAGGAAATAAATGCTGCCTGAACATTAGCATCTCAAAGTGCATTTTGTACCAGCCTCATCACAGCAAGAAATGCATCCTATGTGTTCCACATAACAACAAAAACAAGAAGAATCCTGAGTGGCACTATTTATTTATTGTTTGTTTGTCTAAGTCAGGGATGGGAAATGGGTGACCATTGGCTATGGTGGCTGTGGCTGAGGGCAGCTGAAATCTCACATAATCTTGGGGGCTGTATGTTAGTTAGTTCCCCATTCCTGCTCTAAGCTATGAGTGGGCCTTCTGAGATGCATCCCCATATCTCCTGGTGCAGGAGAAAACTACATAGGTATACGAGAGATTCCCATTCTGCCATATGCCAGCAATCTCATGAGAAACGTTGTCCAAGATCCTGCACAGGAAGACATAGCTTTGGAGACACAGCTACATTGTCTCTCAATGCTACCCAGCAAAATCCTAGCTTTACAGCTCTCCCACAATACACCTATTTCGGAAGTACCGGAGAGCAGGGTGGTGAGATGTAGCCAACCCACTTCCAGTTGTGGAACACACTGGGACAGATAGCTACAGAAATCCTTCTAGGTTTGGCATCTTGTCCCAGCTGTTTTGCCTCACCATGCCTGATCGCCACAAAATGAATGGACATGCCATTACTCACTGCCCCGCTCTCCAGCACCTTGGAAATGGCTACACTGAGATGGCTGAGAGACTTCAAAGGTTGTACAATGATTATGAACATGAACTGGAATAATTATGATGCCGTAATTGCAACACTGTAATTACTGAACAGGATGCCAGATGTTGTTGTTGTTGTTTTTTACATGGTTAACAGTGGCCAAATAAAAGCTAGTCTTTCCTTACATTATTTGTAATCATTTACATATTAAGCTGTTTATGGGGGATTGCAGACTACGAGAAATAGTGCAAATTGAGTACACTTTTAAGGTTAGGGTTAGTGCTAAGGAATCATGGGAACTGTATTTTATTGTGGCACCAGAGCTCTCTGACAGAGAAGGCTCAATATATCAGAAAAAAACCAATACGCATGATTCCCTACCACTAACCCTAACCCTAAAAGTGGACTCAATTTGCACTATTTCAGGCAGTCTGCAACCCCCCTAAGATAACTATAGCTTGCAAACTTGTTTAAAAGTTCCTGTGATTGTAAATGAAATGCCATAATGGCTCAGTTTATAAATAATACCAAGACTCAGGCTCTAGAACTTTTTCCTCCCTTTCCTTGCTCGGATTTCGCAAAGTCATTTCTGCAGAAAACACAGATTTGCTATTCCACAGATTTGCTCCACAAGGACTAGAATTGGTGTTTGCCAGCCAAATCGTAATGGCAAAATACAGTTTAATTATGGCTTGCAATTCTAGTCTGATCCATATTTTGACAGCTTGGAAATAAAAGTAAACCAGTTTGACTGCTAAAGAGGAAATGCAAAAGATGATGGCATGGATTGTGTGTGTGGCTGAGTGGAATCTCCAGTGGTTGGGAGGTGAAACTCTCATCTCCTATTCAATTTCTCTGTGTGCCTTTTGTAGATACCTGCAGGTATGCTGATTTCATGCACTGTACTGAATTTTCAGGTCTCTATATGGAGAAATTTATTAAAAAAATAATGAATACAGAGCCCTGCTACTAGAAAACAATATAAATGCCCCAAGGATGCATGAGATTACCTGGTGTTATAATATCTCTTTTCTGTTAGCAACAGTTACTAAGTAGGTAGAGATCTATTTGTCCATGTTTGTTGTTTCTTACTGTAATCTCAGAAAATTAGATAATAGAGGTTTGTTGAGGGCGACTGTCTTTTGGTCTTAGGACATCATGTATTTGTATATTTTGCAAGTGGTGATTATGGGGAAAAGGATCAATAAGTTCAGCCTATAATTTAGATGCCACTATATGTGTGCATTACCACTGTCTTTCAATGAAGCTGGAAATACATGAAAAAAATAATGCAATGTAATATATTTCTGTTGTTTCTCTGTGGTCCTAATACCTGTGAATGAGCCAAAACAAGGTGCTACCTTCAGTTCTTTCTGCTGACCATGCCACAGTATGCTAGATGCCAAGTGTGATTGTGGAGACCAGCTATACAAAATGCAGTTAACTACTTTGAAGGGGTGGGAATGAGGCAAAAGTATTTATGATTTCTTTCTGATACCAAGCACTAAACTCAAGAATCTCCATTATTCACTAATTCTTATTATCCGTATATACTCTGCCTCACACCATGCCACCGAAATGCCAGTTTTGCCTAAGTTATTTATGCAATTCATTTAAATTTCTGTATGCACAAATATTTTGGCTGATCCTCTTCACAAGACAATGGTGTCAATCCAGGTATAGCTGTATATAAATTACACAGGAGAACTAGTGGCAGTGAAACAGGATTATGTACCCTTGTCTGCCACAAAATATATATCCAGACTATCCAAACTGGACCAGGTAAGCAATGAGAACATGCATCCAAAAAGCACATTTCCATCTGATTCAGCTGCAAGCATGGAAGCCTACATGTATTCACAGGTCTCTGGCTGGATCAGAGAAAACATATTGTGCTTCTTTTCATGGCATTATTGATGACCACAGAAATAATAATAATTTAAAAAATGGAGGCTGCAGACCAGACCAGTCTACTCTGAATCTGAGAAGCTTGATTTTGGTAGCAAGGACTAGAAGTATGATTTGTGAGGAACCAGATATGGAATCTGAAAGTTATTCCAATGGAATATGAATTCAAAGAAAAACACTAAGCTCCACCTTTCTCCCCCTTTGATAAGGATAGTTGAGGTGAAGTTTAGAATCAAAATCAGCTAACAATAACAACGACAACAACAACATTAACAACAACAACAAAATATAGTCCACTCTTTCCAAAAGCGAAAATGGATTAGGATTGCCATCAGAGAGGATGGACCAGCTGCCTCTCTAGATGGCATGCTACCTACTTTGTGAATGAAGACCAGCAACAGACTTCCTGGTCTTTCCTTTCTTCTTCACTTAAGCCCTGTTTCAAACACATTTTTTTAAAAAATTGGCATTATTCTAAAGTTCGACCATTTCAAGTTTTTGATACATCCACAAAGATTTTTTTTAATGTGCTGATGTTAACTTGGAGGTTTTCTCTAAAGCTTCTTTACAAAACTTCATGGGCTACAGTAGTTCAAAAGAGTTTCAAGGTTTAACAAGATACCTGATGAAATTTTGGCAAAGCTTCCTTGTTCCCTCCCACCTGCCAAGGAGAAGGAGGATGTGAAATCTCTTCTCCATCTGCATGAAATATCTGTGGGATTTTTACCACTCCTGAAAACTTTGATGCAGACAGGCACATCCCTTTTGCATTCTCAGTTGTTTTCTATTTGCTCAATATCTAATTCACCATCCAGTTGAAAGACATTATCCCCTCCTGCCCCACTGTTCCTCCATGAGGGGTTTTCCTCTTCCTTCCTACTGCTCTCATCTTCTGTGGCACAAAACTCTGACTCCTCATAGGAGAACTCCTCCTCTTTGTGTATTTTACATTCTTCTGCATGTGAATGTGGCTCTGGCACAGGGGTGCAGGCTGGTGTCCTGCCTGGCATGATGTCCAAAGTTGTTATCCATCCCTTGGTGCTGCTGAGACCAGGTGAAAACTGATTTTGCTGAGAGCAGTCATCAGCTGTGGTGCTAAGGCAGCTAAGGCTGTTGAAAGTTTGACAATTCTGTAAAAGAAAAAACAGAAGACATCGCAAGTCAGAAGCAAAGATATCAAGAGTTCTGCCACTGACTACAGTGAAAAGAACACAACATTATATATTATAGTTAATAATTATGTTTCTATGCTGCTTTTGGCCAGGGAGTTCTGTACAGCATACAAGGTTCTCTCTAATTCCATGTTATCCTAATAACCATCCTGTGTGTTAGGGTCGGCTGAATTACTGACTTGGTAAACTATGGTTCAATAGGCATTTCAATCTCTGTGTTCCTAGTTCAGTGATGACAATCATACAGATCACAGACAATTGCAATGAGGCCACTGAAGCTCTTGTTCTGAAAATCTGTGTAACTTATCTCAAGATGGGTCCTCAGACTGGAAAGGAAGGAGAGACATAAGGAAGCGTGTTCAGAGATAGGGATTTCAGGCCTGCAGGGTGATAAATTATCCAGATTGCTTCCACTTTCCCTTCAGATTTACAGCCTTTTTGTATTTGTTTTTTCCCCCCGCAATTTGTTGCTTTGTGCTTTAGATCTGTGCATTTCTTTAGTTCATGAAAGAAAATTGCACAATGACACTTTGATATAACTGAATGCTGAAACATTAGAGATTACCACACTACACTCTTAAAGCATTGCTATTCTGTTTCAACTGCTCCGACTGTCTCCTGTTTCATTTTGGGGTTTGTAGTTCAGTGAGGCCTAAGAGCTCTCTGGCCAAATATTCTAAATGCCCCTTTCTAAACTGCAAATTCCAGACTGCAACAGGATGCAGTCATAGCAGTTAAAGTGGAATAGCAATGCTTTGTGTAGTGCAATAATCTCCATTATCAAAGCCACACAGTTTTCCTTTCTGTGTGTCTAGTGATGAGAGGATGAGGACACTGCCAAGAATCCTTCTCTCCAATGAAATTTTTATTGATTTCCCAAATTTTTAGCACTGCAGAGACTAGGACACTGAAAACCCTCATTTTGCCTCCCCTTCACCCCTACAGTTACACCCTGGTTTATGTTGCCACAATGATCTTTATGTAGCTATACCCCAGTTTATGCTGCCATCAGATCCAACTCTCAGTATTAAAAATGTGAATATCAATGACTATTAAAAGGAAAAAAAGAGGGAGAAAAAGGAATCCATCAACACCATTAAGACTGAGAGCCAATGTGGTGTAATGGCTTAAGCACTGGACTAGGATTCTGTAGACCAGGGTTCAATTCCCAGCTTGACCATGAAACCCACTGAGGGATCCTGGGCAAGTCACATGCTCTCAGCCCAGGGAAAGGCAATGGTAAACCTCCTCTGAACAACTTTTGCCAAAAACAACTCATGGTAAGTTCGCTTTTAGGGTCACCATAAGTCAGAAATGGTACATAACAATGACAATTTATATTTTAGCATGAGCTTTCATGAATATAAATTTCCTTCCTCAGAAAGTGTACTTGACACAATGATAGATATGACCAACTTTGGTGGACCTGAAGGTCTGCCTGAAAACATGCCATGGGTCATACTGACTCCAAAACCAGAGGCTACTGGAAATTCACCTCCAGTTTGAACTGGGAAGGAGAGGGTTGGGAGATCTTCTGAGGGCACTTGTACAATAGATAGATAGATCAAGGTTTCCAGGAGTAATAAATGAACTTTGATGTGGGAGGCCTCAGAAGGTCCAAGAGGAGAACAAAAGCCATTGCTTTCTAACTACACTTTGTCCCTTCCTGATCTATGATGCAGCATAAGAATCTCCAAACTCACATTGCTCTTTCCCATCTTTTGGCTGGGAAGTTGCTCTAATACTTGAATTTATCACAGAAAGGGAGTATAGCTCCATTTGCAAAGGGCCAAGTGCATGGACTGTGAAGAGCTTAGACATCCTCAAAATGTCAACCCAAGTTACAGAAGCACTTTCTCAAAGGGTGAGAGACCAAATCGAGTCATATCCCCCTCCACTCTGAGCAGATGAACTGAAGATAGATGGTCACAGAACTCTCTGTATTTAAGTCAAAATTTGGTTTATTTGGAATCAACCGTAGTTTTATAAACAAAACAATGTTTACAAGTTCTTTTTGCCCATCTTTCAAATTCCAAAAGTAAGTTTTCACAGGCTAAAATGCTTTCTGGAGTGCTGGAACAAGTGGAGGAGGGGGAGAGCCATGGCAATTCATCCATCAAGTAGGCATTCAGAATGTTGTTGCTGCAGATGTATACTGTAAGAGGGCAAGAAACATTGGCTAACCTAGATGGCACAGAATTTGGCAGAATTTGCTGGTCTCTAGTTACCTGGTAACCAGTGAGGAGCATTCACTTTGCAAACAGCACTGCAAATTAAGTGGCTGAGTTCTTTGAATTCCACCTTTCACTCCTCCCTGCTTGGATGCAACTGTGTCAATACCACTGTTCTCTGTGCTTAAAGGTGTATACCACTTTACATTCAATAAGATCTTTTCACCTTTTCACAGTTGAGGAACAAACACGCTATTAGGCAGTATGCACTGTAGAACAGCTCCAAAGGTATGCAAGGCAGCCCCTTCCGTTGTCTCCTCTTAGGCTGAACAGAATTGCTTTTGTGTAAGAACATGAACTCTTCTAAAACATTAATCTTTCCCAAGCCAAGCCAAACAATGGAGCCAAACTAAATGCTCCTCCAATGTACATTTGTTACACGCAGGCATTGTGGTTAGATATGAGAGAAAGGGGGGGGGGCGGAGAGGGAGAGAGTTAATTTCTGCTCCTTCAGATGAAATGGCACAAAGGTGGCTTACCCGGCAACTGGAAGGGTCACACTGAGGCAGGGCACTAGCATCTATGAGTCCCCTAAGCTGATGCTCCACAGCTCAAGATGACAGAAGGAAAGTTTTGCATGATGGGCTTTTGCATGAATATGAAGAACTTGAGTGACAGGCAGTTGGCATTTGGACAGTGCTTAAACCTGGCATGGTAAGCTCAGTGCCAGACTTCAGCCACAAGTGAGAACAGGCTGTGGGTTTTTATCATACTTGACAAATATTAGATGAGGGCAGGATAAGGCATTGCTTACTTTGGGATGTGACTGAATAAGCTTGAAGCTGTGAAAACATACAATCCTGAGAAAGTACGGACACCAATATCAGGTGCAGTGACAAGACAGTGGCTTCCACAGCAATCTGTTCTTTTAAGAGAACACCAAATACTAAGAGAGGATATGTAGAAAGTGGATGTAGTAGCTATGTAGCTTGGATCAAATTTAAATGTCTGTCTATCTATCTGCCTGTCTAATCTCTCCTGGACTGGTGTTTTAAAGTTTGGTAGTTGAATTTCCTTGATTTATTCTCCATCTATTGCTGCTAGCGTTAAAGGAAACAATAGCGTTAAAGGAAACAATCTAACTTTACCAGACTGTAATATGTGAAAGGGAAAGTTGTGACACACAGACCGTTGGATAGTCAATTCACGTGAAGCAACAATTATATAATTTAAAAACAATCAAACAAAGAAGTTCACAAAATTGTGTGTGCAGTAGATTATGCCATGACTAGTAAATTATGAAGAATAATTCAATATGGAGGTCAGGACCGGAACTAACAGTAGCAGAATACAGCAGCTAGGGAAAGAAAGACTATAAGAAAGACACAGAAAATGATCAGAAAAGTACATGACAGGAAAGAGAGAACATGAGTCAGCCACACTTGCCAAAGAAAGAGATTGTAGGCTTAATATGCACTCTTTAATGTTTCTTTGCTTGCTTCATTACAGTAAGAAGTAACCAATGGAGTGCTCTTCCTTACTGTGGCACAACAGTATGGCAGGGGAATATTCTGAGCAGTTCTATCCTATAGTGCTTGCACATGAAAGATGCAAAACTTGATCAAGGATCACTCTGTACTACTAACTAGTTCCACAGTGAAAAATAGATTTCAATAGCACAATACATCCAGATTCCACCAAAGCTGATATGCAGCTATCCCAAGAACTGCAGTCTCTGGTAGCAGTTTAATGCCTCAGTCAACTCTGCACAAAGTGACTTATGAAGTATCATCTTATACAGTAACTAGTCAATTGCATTAGCATCCTGCAAAGTTAGATCTACATTCCTTACTGCAACTAATCCTTCCCTTTCATCCATGTTTTAAGAAACAATAGAATAGAAACAACCTATCCACTACATATGGTATAGCTTGCTTGTGCTGGAATGCTGACTTCTATTATGCAATAAACTCCACAACTGAAAACTGTTCTATTTCCAGATTTTTTGGAGAACGGATGAAACATGGTTTAGCATTACATGAGCAAGCCTTGGACTCACATAATCCCTCCTCTTGTTCTCGCTTATAGCCTCTTACATTACAGCAAACTATAGCTTCAAATGTATTGATAAACTATGGTTTGCTCTTATTTTAGAAACCAGGATTTAAATCACAGATTATAACTTGAATTTCTAGTTTTAATGGAAAATTCCAACCTTGGTTTGATGATTCTGATGTACTGTCAAACTATGAGTTACAGTAAAAGAGAGGGAAGTCAGAGGAGCAACAAAGCTGCACTTGCGCTGTGATTTGGCATTATACTTCAGCTAAGTCAGAACGTCCATAGGCTGTGTACTAAATTTCAATCAACAGGAACCATTTGGGGGTGCACTTGCTGTCCTCTTACAATACATTGACAAATGCTTCCCCTTCAGCACTTAAAAATAAATAAATAATCCCAGTATCTTTAACTACTTGTGTGCTTTGGGTCAATGGAGCTGAAAAAACACCATCAATTTGGGGGCATACTCTAATCCCCTGTTTGTAATGAAGATGAAAATATTCAATTTTTAGATTCTTTCTCAAGAAAAGGAAACATCTTTACACATCTCACATCTGTAAATTTGTCTGGTGGCTACACAAGCATGTATGTATATCAACGTATGAGCTGGAGCATAAAAAAAAACTTGTTTGTGGTGAGTCAAAAGAAATTCTACAAACTTAGTGAGATTTTTACTTTGGCCGGATTGTTTAAAAATCCTTGCAAATGTATAGATGCGGAACTTAAGTCCAAGTTTTAGCTTTAGAAATCAAGAGCAGGTTTTTGTTTCATAAAAACATGAAAACATATTAAATCAAAGAAAGGAATGTAGAGCGAGGTTTCCGCTGATCATAGTGTGAATCTTCTGCGTAACATGGACCTCAATTCTTTATCATAGTCTATTACAGTTGTCATCTAGTAATTTCATTTGGGTATGGCCACTCATGACTTTGGCTAGACCTCCATTAACAGCATGTAGGGTTTCTGGGTACAAAATCTAGACAGTCTGATGTTAGGCAGCCATTTCGCTGCCTCTGCAATTGATGCTACAGTATTTTGGAGGATGAAAGATACTAAGATAGCTTGAACCTTTTTGGAATGCTTCTAATAATTATTTCACCGGGCTTGTTCAAATTAATTGGCTTGAGGACTGCAGCTTTTGTGCATAATTACTAAAATGTTTCCTTTTATATAACATAATGGAGGGAAAAAACCAGAGACAGCTGCAGTTGAAACAGGTGGGAGATCAAAGCTGACAGCATTTTTAGTGCCAGGGTAGAGACCGACATGGCACAGATGAAAGAAAGGGTGGGAATGAGCTATGAAGACAAGTAGCTTGTGTTTAATGTGCTGTAATGCAAAAAGATTAAGACACATATAAAACTCTAGACCTTTTATCTTTGGATTATGAATGCTCTTCAGTAGAAATGTATTTGCATTGGCATTGATCCACAGCAGTAGTCCTCCACTACATTGAGTTGAATACCAGTTCTTCTATTTATGTACCAGATGCCACAAAAGAAACAGAGAGAGAGAGAGAGAGATGTTATACAATTTCATCAGATGGGCTTATCTCCAATATCTGAATGCAATGTCACACTGGCCATGTATTCAATGCCTAGCTTTCAACTTTCTGAGCCAGAATCAGCCTGCCTCTGAGAGGCAATCTGTTTGTTTTACTGGTTCACTACTGTGTAATGAGAATCAGTCCCTAGTTTAATATCATACGAGAGCACCTGTTCGTATCACATTTCTAGTGCTGTAGTCATGGCTTTTTGTTTCGTCTAACTGTGTGGGTTCCCACTTCATCCATAGTAATAATTCCCCAGAGCCTAGAGAACGTGGCTTTCTTTTCTATGTTCTGTTAATTTCTGCAACTTGGATGTTTCCTCTTCCCTACATACCAGTGCTGATGCCACTGTTATGGAAAGCAGTAATGAAGTGTTCTTATTTACACCTGGCTTGCTA